GCAGCGTTGAGTGTTACCACAACACGTTCACAGTAAGTATGTAGCAGTTTAAATTTTCTTGTTTGGGCAAGTTACATATCTCACACCAGCTATACATTTATCACAGTGACTTGACACAAACTCATAGACTGTCTTCAGTATGGAGAGGGACATACTGGATCACAAACACAACATAGAGCCTAAATTGGAGGATTCTACTTAATGCTACTCTCAGCCAAGCATTTTTTTTGCCTCTCTTGGTTCTATCTGCCATTTTGTTCTGCCAGTGTTCTGCTAAATACTTCTTGTATTTGGTAATTTTGGCAGAAATTGACTATAATATTCATAGGTATGTTTTCATTAGTGTAAAATCACCCCAGGGCTGGGTCGTTCCGCTCCGACCTGCAGCCTTTTGCGACATGTCTTCCCCTCTCTCTCTTTCCCCCCTCCTGTCATTCTTCAGCTGTCACTGCAGATTAAAGGCCAACAAAAAATTAAAAATAAATAGAATGAGCCGTTTATATCTACACGGTCGCCTTTCATGGAGTCCGCCATGTTGAATCACTATGTTTCTAAAGTATCCCAGAAGGTACAAACCAAACACTGGCTCTAGGAAGGGGCATTCACATTTTTCACACGGTTTTCGCCACCGCAGTTTGCACTTGGAATGGGAGGGTGAAGCGAGGGAGTTGCGATCTGTAACTCCACTGCTAGATGCCACTAAATCATCCACACTGGACCTTTAAATAACTCCTTATATTTTTAGTTTGTCATGCCTGCAGAAACCAATGAGCACGGCAGCAGAGAGGGTGGATACTGATTGCGTGACTTTGCTCAAACTTTTGATAAAAGCCTGGGAAACAGTTAACAGGTTGACTGCAAATAGAAGAAGAGTGAATGAAACTGTTTACTCTCCAGGCCCACATGTTATTTTATACACCTGCTTTCCGATGAAAACACATGCAAAAACAAATCTAAGTCTCTCTTATCTGTGTTTGTGCTGCTTGGACACCATCTGTCTGAGAGACACAAAGTGTTACTAACAAGACTGTTGGTGCAATCTGATGACCAGCTCACTCCTGTCAACATATTGGGTATTAAAAAAGAAAGAAGCACCAACCTGTTTTCCTTTGAGGCTCATCATCTGTTTACTAGTACATAAACTATAATGAACCCAGCTACCCACTCAGCAGCAGCAGCTTCCGTGCTGCTGAGGGAACAGCTTGAAGAGCTGGTGATCAAGCATCATGATTAAGCACCAACTGCGAGAAAACTCTCCGTGTGTTCAGTCCAATTCAGCCCTGCGCTGATTACACTCATCAGGGCCCCGTATGCTGCAGGGTGTGGAGGCGCACCAACTGCTGTTTGAGATAAAGATTTTTGCCAAAATTATTTAATCACTGGACATATGGGCTGCAATAAAAGAGCCGGGCTTTGAAAAGAGGAAAGAAATAGGGGCAATGGGAGTATAAAATCAAATAACACACATTTTCGACAGCGATAATGACTTTTCTACATTCTGCACAATTTAAAAAAAAAGAGAGAGAGAAGAAACTATTTCAGAATCAGTTTTGAATTTATAAAGATTTAGTTTGTGCTGCAGTACCTTTCCCCGCACCTGGCGTGGCGCTGTGGTGCGAAAGACAACACAGACCGACCGTAGAAGAAGAAATCCGTTTCATAACAAACGTCACTTCCTCTGACCGCTGCTAAAGGTAAACTCTTTTTCCAACAAAAATATCGATGTGCTAAATAAACGTATTTACACACCACGGTCGACAGTAACATTCATTTTGTGTGTCTGATTCGACTCAGTGTGACAATAAGGTTACTCTATGGTAATTTGTTATGCTTTCCAAAGTGTTCCTCTGTCGTGATTGACACTTGCTCATTACCTGTGACTGATGTTTTTCCACTTTCCCCTATGAAACATCTGGCAGCAGCTGTGCATAGAAACCATTATGGTTCTGTGAAGGCAAGGGCTTTGATGAGTGGCGGTAAAAAACAACAGCCAGGTACTCCCTGTGTCAAAGCAGGGAGATTCAATTACAACCTGCTTTTACAAGATTTTATCAGTTTACATAACCAGTATGTCAGTTTTAACAATAATACAGGTTGTAGTCTTAAGGCTTTCAGGCGGAAAATGAATAACGAAGGTACATTTCTGTTAGTATTCGGTCAATACTTGGAAGGTGGAAGTTCATATAAGTATCTCTACTGAGTTTGTTGAGAATGAACAGTTCTTGGCTGTGTGAGTCAGTGACATTTTTAACAGGAAGCTCCACAAATATCCCCTGGCTGTGCATAATGTCAGGTAGATATTGTTGTACTGCATACTAATGATGTAAATAGTAGTCCTGATGGTCAGTCTCCTGTCCTCATAGAAGCACCTGACCCTCCACGCCATACCTCTGACCATACAGAGCATCACCACGGCTCCTGAATTGTTTGAATAATGTTAGAATGGTGTATCCCTGCAAGTCTCCGCTCAACCTGTCATTATCTAACTGCCTGTGCTACTTCAGAAGGTGAAGCCAGTATTTTTAGTAAGTAGTTATTTTAGCTACCTGCTCGGTTGTCACCCACTACTTCTTCTCTCGCCGCCTTTAGGTGACCAGCTTCAGGACGTTGCATCAATGTTGCGCTTGACAGCAACATCGTTGTGCCTTCGGTGCCAACGAGTCACAGCTCTGCCTTTAAAGCTAAGGCCGTGTGCAACGCTGAGCTCGGCAGAGAACCGGCAGACAGTGGAGGAGCTCTATAATCTCTCTGTCGACATCCAGAAGGTCCGGAAACTTAAGGGCTGGGTTCTGCATCAGACGCCAGCCTACACTAAGGAGGTAGCAGATCTGCTGAAGGACATGGGAGCCTCGGGTTCCATCATTGCTCGGATCCTTGCGGTTCACCCTGAAGCGGTCCTCTGTCCCCCAGAGCAGATGCAGGCTCAGAGGACGCTGTGGATGTCCGTGTGCCCAAACCAGAAAGAGCTGGTTGGTATCATTGAGAAATTCCCAGCCTCCTTCTTCACTTCCTCCAGCCACCACGACAACCAGCAGAACAACATCGCTTACTTCCAGAGCTTAAACCTCAACAAGCGAATCATCACCAAGCTCATGGCCAGCGCGCCTCAGAGCTTCAGCCGGCCAGTAGAGGACAACGAGGTGATGGTGCGCACCCTCCAGCAGGCCTACCAGGAGCTTGGTGGAGAGGAGGCCAACATGAAGATCTGGCTTCAGAAGCTGCTGAGCCAGAACCCGTTTGTCCTCCTCAAGCCCCCCGAGGTGCTGAGGCAGAACCTGCTGTTCCTGAGAGACAAGGGCTTCAGCACGGCAGAGCTCCTCCGCCTCCTCTCGAAACTTAGGGGCTTTGTGACCGAGCTGAACCCGGACAGCATGCGTCGCACCCTGGCGTACTCCCAGGACACGATGGGCTGCTCTGAGGAGGAGCTGCGGGACATCATCCTCAACTGTCCGGCTCTGCTTTACTACCCTGAAGCTATTCTGGCTGAGCGCTTTAAGGGTCTCCTCAGTGCCGGCATCAGCATGTCTCAAATCGTAGAAACTCCGACCGTTATGGAGCTGACTACACAGATAGTGAACTATCGCATCCACCAACTGAGGACGCATGGTTATGAGGTAAGGACAGGTAGTCTGGATGTCCTGAATGGCACTAAGAAGGACTTTGAAAAAAGCTATGGAAAATTACAACTACGTAGAGAGAGACCAATTTTCAACCCTGTTGCCCCTTTAAAGGCGGATGACTGACAGAATCTGTGTGGACGAATGCAAATGTTTCAATTTCTAACTGGATGTATTCTGTTCTTGGGATTATTAATATCTTTATGATATCAATATCAGATTAAAGTGTCTAAAACCTCAGGGTGCACCCACTTCTTTATTTATTATCAGATATATGTGTTCATTTCTGTAGTTTAGTTGGACAAATTACAATTTTGCCATTTGAACTTGACAGTGTAGATGCCTGAGAGTGCTATGGAAAACAAACTCAAAATGCCAGCTTTAATGGATGTAAATAATAATAAGTTTTTCTCTCCATGTGCTCAAAACTGATATGAGGGATCACACTTCTTTTTTTTTTTCAAGCCCCGGTTTTCCTCTAATTTGGAATGCAAATGCAAAAATGTTTCAAATTAAATTATTCACTTGTAGTTCAGACCAACACAAACAGTCAGTCCGATGGCATTTCAAATGGAAAGCGGCACACTCTAATGCTGCTGTAAATTCATGTCTTAAGAGATGAGGGTGGTTATGTAATGACTTCCCAGAGTGATATCAGGAAGTGAGACAAATGCAATGGTGTCTTAATGTGTCATGCTTTGATGTAGTCCCTTGCCAAATAAAGAATTTATTATAGCTTATTTACAAGTTACCTCATCACAATAACTTTCCATAATACACTTCATGACACAACTGTGTAGTGACAGACATGCTGACTCGTCTATCAAATGTAATACTATCTAGTAAAAGCGAGGACAAACAAGGCTTTGCAAACCATTTTATTTACAGCCTGTGCAAGTGTCTCATTTTCGCAGTGTTCTTGGCAGCAAACTGTTCCCCTCGGGGAGGAAATCTAACTGTGTCTCAGATTTTTATTGTTACTTTACAGATGGAGACACTTTATTATAGGCTATTTCACTGCTGAAATGTCACTTTATTATAATTTTAAATGAATTCAAATGTACCCACACGTTGCGATAAAAAAGGAAGGAAAATGAAGTCCCTTTCATCTGGATTGGAAGTGGTTTATTTGAACGCACTCTGCAATCTTTATTCAAAAAGAAGTTGATTTATGCAAAATAGATTTTCCATTATGTTTGGCTTTATTAATAAGGTATTCATGTCTATATGTGATATGGAGGTATAAAAGACTGTATGTGGGTTAGGGCCCATATTTATTTTAGTATAAGCCACAAAATCAATATACAATCTTACTAAGCATTGTCTAAACCAAGAGAGGGCATTTTAAAATGTCCCCGTCTCATTTTGAATATGCCTTAATGTTTCAAAGCCAGCAAAAGCCCTTGAAACATGCTTTTTTTTTTTGCTTTTTAATGGGAGTGAGCTTCCCAGCTAATGAAGCCATGACTTTATGCCTCAAGGTTCCCTCGCTCTCGTAATGTGGACGATGGGGGTCACAACAAAGGAAGAGAAAGAGGACTTGTGTGTCCAGAGGGAGGAGGATGGAAGGATGGAGGGAGGGAGAGAGAGAGGGGGGTCATATACGTTAACAACTTCCACTTCCCATCTGCTGCCGTCTGCATCACTCAGCACGGCTCCGTAGTCATGGCGATAGCCACTGGGCAGATGATGCGAAAGTGAGTGCATCTGGTAATGAATTTGAGCTCAGCAGATGGATGCTTGACTAGTGTTCATTTTCGAACCATTCACAAGTTGGAACCCCTGAGGGGCTACAACAGTACCTCAAGTATTGCAGCTGATGTACTGAAGGGTACTAATTTTACTACAGACATCAGTGATGCTTCCTTTAATCATATTGCAAGGCTGTGTCTTTCAGTGGTGCTCAGTAGTAAATACAAGGAGTTAATCAGGATGTTGCAGATAAGGCAAGGCCTCGGGTGTATAAATGCAGGTCACCTCTATTTCTTACCCACTGTCCTCTTCGTCCTCTCCTCTGTCGACTGCTGTATCGTTCCGCGCTGTGCTCTTGAGTTACACAGCAAAGCCGGAAAGGTTAATAAGAGTGAGTATAAATTGTCCTCTTTCATTTCAAACATGACACTGGCTGATATTAGCCATGCTTAACATATTGCTTTTATGGGTCCTATCTCCCCAGAAACAGATGACATCTGCAATTAAAAACTATGATTTCCACCTTAAGCCAGAGCATGGACGAGCACTGCTGCAGAAGATATTGTGAGTGTGAGTTTAAGGTCCAGTGTGTAACATTTAGTAGCATCTGTTGGCAGAAATGGAATATTATATTAATTGGTATGTTTTATCAGTGTATAATCACCTGAAAATAAGAACCGTTGTGTTTTTGTTACCTTAGAATGGGCCGTTTTTTACTACACAAGGGAGCGGGTCCTCTTCTCCAAAGTCCGCCATGTTTCTACAGTAGCCCTGAAAGGACAAACCAAACACTGTAGTAGTATCTCCTACACAATTGGAAGACTGCACTGTATTCATATGGTTGCAATGTGCAACTTCACAGCTAGATGCCACTAAATCCTACACACTGGTCCTTTAAGCTTAAGTTGTTTGTTGAATTTTTATTTAGATTCAGACATATTTATTTGTTTATTTATATATATAGGAAGCCAATAAAGGAGAAAGATAACCTTTTTAGTAATTTAAATGTTCCATCACAACTTAAAGAAAAATACTACTACAAACTACAGTTTGTCTGGTCTTTTGTTCACTACACTCACTAAACTTTTAAATATACATTTAAAATGAATGTTTATTAACATTATTAATTAATGTAGGTTTCCCTACATTTTAATTAATCCAGCTTTAAAAACACCAATAACATGATATGGTTAAGGGAAGAAACACTAAAGCAATGACTAGTTATTCTAAAATAGACAAATAAATCTATTCAGAAATCCCAGTCTAGTTATTCTGTGTACACAACTTTTCACTCCCCACCTACACCGGAAAGTTTATTTTCTGTCATTACTCATCTCCCAAAATTGACTTCAATCTGCACTCCGATGAGACAACACGAATATACAGTACATGCTGCGGGAGGAAAATAAATGTCACATTGATGGACGTTCAATGCACAAAAGGTAAATAACTTTCTATATTGAACGTTGCTTCTGAGATTCACAACTTTGAAACATGGGCTCATTTGTCAGTACAGGTAATTTGGCCTGTTGTGAGGTACAGTCCACTGGGATCGTGTGTCACTCCATCTTGTGAATCATTCATTTTGGATTTTATAATGTCACTGACCATTTAAAGCAGCCTCCTTTTGAAATCTATTGAAATGCACTGTTTTAGCATGTCACAGTAGGAAAAGCACAGGTGTCACGCATTAAAATGTATTCCATTTAGCTGCTTCAGATTCAGGGTCCTGGTATTGTGCATGCTGGTTTACTGTCACACTGTCATGTCTTACTGGGACACATGAATAGAACAGAGCCATCGTTAATGTTATTATTAACAAGTGTGCTTTTCCTACTGTCAAAAGTCAAACTCTGCTGTAAGAAAGGTCTCTCTGCCATATACAGGTCTGTTTATTACTCATTGTATTGGACTTTTTACAGAACTATGCTCCTTTTATGTTTGGGTGCATTGTGAGTTGATGAGTTTCTGTATTAGAGTGGGTTTGAAAAACGTGTTAAAAAATCCTTTAGACAGACTACAACACTCCACTGACCTCTGCTCATGTTAATGTTGGGTGGGAACTGCTGTGAACCACCAAACTCCATGTGATGATAAGGATGTTTTTGCTGCATGTTTTGCAGTGGCAAGGATGAGAAAACACAGAAGGCTGAAGACATGACCTTAAATGATACTCAGACAGAGGCTGGGAGTGTTGCTGACATTCAATACAGTCACATACCTTTATCATGTGTTCAGATTTTGGAGCTGACAAAGGTGAATGCCTTCTGTCTAGTTCTCATAGGTCTGTGTAAGTAAACTGATGATCTGAGGGGAAAGAGGGAGGCAATAGGAAACTTCCAGAAAACTAAAGTTAATATATGCGTTTTTACTTGAAGCTTTCATATTTTTCACCTTAGATCTAACTATAGACAGTCTGTGAAATCCCTCTATAAGCTATCATAGGCTAACTATATTTGTTTTTATTATCTAGTTATGTTGTTTGGATATTTAGTAAGTTTACATGTAATCCAAAAGATAGCTTTCTGATAGTGTTAACAAACTTCCAGAAATGCCTTTGGATAGAAGCTGGTGAAATCTATTGATAATTAGTCACTGGCAGCATAAAAGGAGGCTTTCTGTCCCTTGTCTTGTTGATATACCTCCATCTAGTGGCAAAAAGGATCACATACAACCAGAGGAATACGGGTAATTTTCAAAATGAAAAATAAAGTCACAAAACGGCATTTGTTCTCCATTAAAAATGTACCATTTGTTTATTTTTATTCATAATTTCACCAAAAAAAACAAAACAAAACAGTGAAAACCATCATCAACAAATTCCATTGCTAACCACAAAAGAATTACAAGCTGTAACATTTCTCCATATTTATTTAAATAACAAGATGGCCATTATATTATCAAAGCAAACCAGAAGGGTAATTTACTTGTCACTTTATAAACTGGCATCTGTCATGTTGGCTTAGAAAAGACCAGATGATGTGGTACCCAGAGCATAGGCTGTCATTGACGTAGGCCGCTGACTGACTCACTGACAAGCATATTCTCCGAGCAGCTGCAATACTGAGGAGGAGGACGAGATGGGAACGCTGACGAGTGACAAGGTGACAGCAGTAGGTGGCAGGAGGTTTTTCTCATACCAGAACTGATCGCAATCAAACAGCAGTGAAAATAATTCTATAAAATGAAGAGTAAATACACATAAAGACTTGAAGATTAAACTGGAATGCTGTTAAAGTGTCTGTGCTCACAGTGTTTTCATGTAAAATGGTTCAAATGCTTCATGGATTACAAAGGTCATATTTAAACTAGCTGGAATGCTCAATGACTATATTACAGAGTGTTGACAAGAGAAAGTGTTGCCTTTCCTTGCTTTTATAAAAATACAATGATAAACTTTGGGTTTGGGTTTTAGCAGGAATCCAGGAGTTGACTCAGCAAAGAATGTTTGCAAGTATTTTCTGAGGATGCATTGATTTTCTCTGTTAGTTGTTTACACTGCGTCACCAATCTCTCTCTTGAAGACTTGGCATTTGTACTTGATGCCGTTCTCCTCTTGAATTCCACTCGGTACACCTGAGAAACTTGTTTGGAAACAAAAGAAAAGTTTTGTGAGTTAACTTAACGACAAAAGTATAATGCATATATAATGTATGAACAATTAAATTAAACAATTAAACAATCACAACACTAGTAGACCCTAATGATCTTTAAAACCATGAAATGGGATATAAATGAGCTTTTATGGCGCCTGTAATGATAAAAATCTGGATAATACCAAGAACAGGCAACATTTACTGAACATCATTTATTCATTTACTATTCAAATGTAGTGCAATTCAGGTAAACTTGCTAATATCATAGCAACCAGTGATGGTGATGTCAGCAAGTCCTTCTGAGCTGAACTATTTAAACCACTGACAATACAGTCTGTACACAGATAGTGCTGATGTTTGCTTTGTAACAAAAGAAGAGCCACACGTGCCTCTCTTCATGACCTTGTTTTATATCTAGACTCGTGGGGCGATTATCAGGCAAAATCTATGTAGCCACTGTTTTGCTTCCTGGCCACACTTTAATAACTGCATTCATAGTCCAGTAGTTTGTATTAGTTTATAATCACTTGAAAATAAGATTGATTGTGTTTTCTTTACCTTAGAATGAGCTGTTTTTACCAGTCAAACCAAACACTACTCTAGATAGGGCCTTTTGTGTATTTTTGCGAGTTTCACAGCCACTGTGGTTTCTCCTAACGCTTGTAACGCAAGCAATATTCAGGTGTTTGCAACTTCACTGCTCGATGCCACTAAATCCTACAAACTAGTCCTTTAAACAGCCAAGACTGACCAGAAAGAGCTTTTTTGTTATTCATCGCACATCTTTTGTAAAACACATGACATAAAACACAACATAAACACATACTTTTCTTGTAGTTTAAACAGTCCTCTGTCAAACTCAGGGAAGAAAACATCGCACTCAAAGTCTGCCATGATGTCTGTCAGGTAAACCAAGTCACACCATGGGTGCTTCAACGCATGCTGATCAAAAAAACAAGAAGCAACAGAGATTTTGGTCACATTTACAGTATTAACAAGCAGGATTTTCCATGTGTAATTTAGCACAGTATTAACACAGAAGAAATCTAAGCTGGACAAAACATCTTTGCATATTAATGGCTCCAGATGGTACTGGAATTTAACTGTTTCCTTTCCAGCCCTGCTGCTGTGGGATCATTTTAAAAGTTAAAGCAACACTGAACTCCAGGCTTCTGTTAGGCAGAGCTGGGAATCACAGCAGGCCACCAACTAAATGTAGTAATACAAAGCATAAATGTGTAGGTCCCATTTTAACAGATGCAAGAATACTAAAAGAGAAGTAGATGTCAATCAAGCACAGTTTGTACACAACCTCAAAACTCAAACAGGCCTGAAACTAATCAGGCATAAGTGAAAACACCTGTGGAGGTGTACTTTAAACTGGATTTCCAGGTCAGCACTATCTTCTAGTCTTCATTCAGAGGTGGGTCTCATGGGTCAACACACCGCACATGAAAACCTCTACATTTTTGGGTCAAACATGCTTCACCAGCTTTGCTAGTTTACCTCGTAGACCTGCGTCCCACCAATAATCCAGATGGTCTCAATCAGGTCAGCGAGAGGGGGCTGTGAAGCCAGGCGAACGGCACTCTCTAAGTCTTGGCACAAGAAATGGGCGTGATCTGGAACCGTCCTGTGAGAGGAGGAATGTCCAGCAGATACAAAAAGGTCAACGACAATGAAAAACCAGGATTGCTTTCTGGATAACCCCAAATATCTTTCTCCCCTTGGTGATGCAGATGCTCGTGCGTATGAGCACTCACTTCAGTTTCGTACTCAGCACCACATGCAGAGCATTGGCCAGTGGGAATGTAGTTTCTGGGTGGGACTGCCAGCACCGTTTGCCCCAGATCATCAAGTTCATCTTTCCTGAAACAGATACAATAAAATGTCTGACACTAAACTCCACACCTCAACTACTGCAGCTCTCACATCTTTTCTCATGGCACAAAGCACAGGACTGGGTTTCAGAATTTCACGTCATTTTATATCATAATATTCTTAAGATAAGGAGAAAATAACCAAAATGTCACTTTATGACTATTCCAGTCAGTTAAACTTGGTATAAGTACAAAAATAAAGACGTTGTAAAGTTTTGAATGAAACCCAGGCCTGTATGAGGTGGCTATAATATGACGTAATATTACCTGGTCTCGACACCGTCGTCACAGTCTTCAAAAAGTACTGGAATTCAGATCTGTAAGAGCCACATTTTCAATATTAAACAGTAAGTACGACCTATATAGTAGTTATAACACATCAAAACACACAGTATCTTCCTTTTATTTTACTGTATAAACTTCCCATGAGCCACCACTTACTGCTCTTACTGTCTACTACTACTGTACCACTACTAATGCTCCTGCTGCCACTGCTACAACTTCAGCATGCTGCTTGTACCTTCGCAACTAGTGCTGTTGTCAGTGCCACTAAAACTCTCTGTTCTTAAGCTTTATTGTAATCAATTACATTATCAACAGGAAACTGTAAACTTTTGTAATTTGTCTGTTAAATATACCCAACTTTTCCTTTTTTTCCTCTGATCACAGCTGTTTTTCATTTTATCACAACGTAATTTTCTCTCAGTTTTTGGCTTTTGAGGCAGTAAAGTAATATTTATTATCATAATAGTATTATTTACTTCTACAATATGCTGTAACCTGTGCAATATTCTTTTTTTTAAACTTAAATCACATCTGTATAAAAATACTGTATATAGTGTATACAACTCTAATTCTATTTCTTTCTTGATATCTTCCTATTTTATTTTGTTATTTAAAGTGTATTTGTTTTTTTCTTGTCTGCTAAGTTATATCTGGAGCTGCTGTAACAAGTCAATTTCCCCAGAGTGGGATCAATAAAGTCTATCTTATTTTATATTTATCATCCATCATTTTGGGCTCTTCTGGTCTACCTTTATAGATCAGTTGATTCATTAGAAATAATCCATATTGGAAAGAGTCTTTGCAGCAGATTGTAGAGGCTGAATAAACTTTTACTTAAAACTTTACATAGAGGTTTGCAGATTATGATTACTGACTGCCTAATGAACAGTCCTGTTGCACACAGCATACACTGATTTACATGTATAATATCAGGATAATTGCACGTACAAGCTACAATCTTAAGTAACTAGTCTGAATCGAGCATTTTAAGTCCTCATCACAAATAGGTTCACTCTTACGGTAGATTCCAGGGCATCTTCCCATCTTTCCCGATCCCATTGTTATTGCAAACTGCTGCGATGAGGCGAACGGGTTTCTTCTGCACGGTTTCCATCTTCTACAGGCGCTCAAAGGAAAACGAACCACACAGAAAGCTGAAGACCCGCAACAGGTTCTGATGGAGTCTGTGTGCGGGAGGGGAGCCCTTTATTGATCGGGGTCTGAGCTCCGCTATCACCGCCCACCGACCGGCAGCTGCTATTGGACACGGTGGAGTTTGTCCCCACCCTGGGGGCCTGCGTGATCACACAGCAACGTGACTCACTCATGAGAGGGCTCCCTGCTCATTACACAAGCGTTGTTTACCAATAGTATTTTAATTAAGGTATACTGTATGCTTTTTATACAGTTTGCAAAGCGTAAAAAGTTCAATAAGTTACGCCTTAAGGACACTGACATTCCCAAAAATAAACCTAACAGAAAAAAAGATTTGAAACAGTGAAAACATGCAAAAAATAAAGTCTCCCTCCAATAAGTTTGGCAATGAACACATATAAGATACATAGATAATTTCCCTACTATACTTAAAAATTGGTATAAAAGTCTGCACCTTTTAGGAAAACAGGATAAAAGATCATCACCTACATGGAAAAATGATGTGATAAACAACAAACTTCGGCTCAAAGTTCACAGAATGCTGATAAAAGGTAGAAGCACTACCCTGGTTTTATTATTTAACAGCTTTTACTCACAGTGGATGATATTTCTGACACTGATTAACAGTAACAACTCTTCATATCAAAGTGAAAACAAATCTCTCTAAATTATTCAATATAGTAAAAATATAAAACACAAAATAACATTACTTTAAGAGAAACACAAACCCATTGAGATTGCAAATTACTTTAAAGACATAAGACCTACTTCTGTTCCAGCAGATCAATTAGCGCAGCAATCAGAGTATTTGAACAACAATGAAGTTGGACAAAGGATGTGGGAATTAATGTGAATGTTTGAACTTTAACTGAAGCATCACATGGCCAGTTGAGAACAAATCTCAAGAAGTCATGCAGGATTTACATAAATGTCATACCATGACATTCTTTTTGTAAAGAGAAAGAAAGGCATTATAGTGCAAATAACTCAAGAGGGTACAACAATGACTGTCTTTTATTACCTTTTTAATACAGTTTGGTCATTCCTTGTACAAAAATAATATAATTTACAGTCACATGGGAGACAAAAGCACGTGCATTCACAGAAGAACTTTAAAGTTTTGGTAAGACATTCTTTACAAAAAAGGAGTTGTAAAAACCCCCCATGACCAAATATACAAAAAGGTGGAAATCAAAAACAATATATACATTTTGTTGTTGTTGTTGTAAGGCCTGTTTTGCTTCTAATATTCCTTCATACTGTACATCAGACCTTTTGTGTTCTAAATCTTCAAAAAGCTTTAAACATTATTTACATTCATGACAGTGTGATATTCTTGGTGTGAAATATCTAGGGGCATGTTTTAGAGAAAACAGACTACTGTAGGTGAGGGTGTCAGCTGCACACGACAAATCCTCCACAGGCTCCTGACTGTTTTATCAGTTCCCTTTTACTCAGACGTGAGTCAGAATTCAGATTTTGACACTTCCAGATCCAGGTGTAGAGGCCGAAGCATGCACATCCAGCACATCCAGCTGACCAATGTGATCCTGACCTGACTGATGTGGGGCACTGAGAAAAAGAGTGTGGGTACTAATGCTTAGTGGTTGTATCACTAGTACAGTGACATACTGTAGTGGAAGACAACAGGTGGCCTCACAACACCACAAAGTGAGGACTTTATTGATTTGTTTTTGCCGTTTAAACCCTGCAGTTTCTCTCAATTCCTTCCTCTGTTCCTGAGATCCTCAGATCCTGAGGAGAGGATGCTATCCAGATGATAGGATGGACTGAGGGACCCTTTGCACACTATTTGCTGTGCCTCCAGGATTTAGAGCTGCTTTCGAGTGGAACCTCTTCACGACGCCGCTTCTGTGTGAACTGTCCTCTTTCTGCATTAAAACAGGAGACACGGAGCATACATCAAGAGATGATTTCAAATTGAATTGGTATCAATTTACATTATATTTTGTTAATTGGACAGAACAAACTCACAAATCATAAATTCAACAGTGCAGTTGTTTGCAGAGTAGCAACTTGGCTCAGGGCATTTGATTACTTTTCTATAATTCTGGCTTGTTTTGGCAGAACAACAGTTGTTGTCTGTAAAGAAGCCAAATATTCAGTTTTCAGTCCACAAAGGCCAACAGCAACCTGCAGGCAGGGATACGCTGGTATTAATTTTAGCCATGAGTCTGATGACTTTGAGTAAATAACATGTATAGAACAAATTGTACAAGTGTTTGTATGTATTAACATAGAAAGAACTGTATTTTAAATAATGACGATGTTGAACATCCAGTCTATGTACCTGCTGAAGTCATTCCTTCCTGTATGGACGGGGTTTCACAGGACCCTGCTGAGCCTTGTCTGGTCCCTGCGTCAACTCTCTTGCCATTTCCTCCATTGTTGATATGGACGGGTACTGTTGCCAGCAGGCCTGCAACGGCACCAGAGCATTGATTTACCCACAAGACAACACTTGTTTGTGACAATGATAAAGAAACATTGATTTGTTCTTTGACAGGGTGTTATTTTTCCCGAGCACCCGCAGCATCTAGCAGACTCCACAAACATCAGTATGTTCCGTCTTTAAGCAAAGCTAATGGATAAGTGGACATTGATAGTTACCACAATGCTGTACATTTATAAAATTATAACAATCCTGGCTTTTACACCTGGAAGTGAAAGCATCTACAGCAGCTGATGAGATTGCTGGTGACATTTCTATGACAATTACCGGAGACTCATTTTTTAATCTCTGCTCTGAGGTCACAGAATCATCTGACACCAGTTGTACACCAAGGTTTTAACACCGTAGCATGTGAAACCTATAAATACTGCAGGCCAACAATGCCATCATCTAGCTGTTAATACTGGGGTTTGACAAAGACAAGTTGACACAGATGTGCATGGATATTATTTGCAGGCAAGAGAATGTGAAAATTAGAATTGTCAAATTAACCTTCTGAACCCTTTTAGGCTCTTTATTTATGGGTTTATGATATTGTTTCAGTCAGCCAGTTTTTCTGCTTGTATGATTATAGCCAATTATTATGTAGCTATAACAAAACAGCAGAGCTGTTACGGGGACGCCTTTCACCTGGCCCTTATCGATCACACTGCTCTAAAGCAAACAGCATGTTAGCTTTTAGATCTACAGCCCAACATCATAGTGTTGATTTCCTGGATTGCAGGAATGACTAAAAATGACTTAAACCTGATAATAAATTGAATTTTCTTTGACAACTTTATCTCTGTATAAAAATAGGTAGCATTCCAGATATTTTAAAATACATTAAAAAGACTGTAAAAAGTGCGAGTTTGAGGTAATATGGGTCATGTTCTTACCCAGTCCTCTGTAGCTGGAAAGCTGCTGGTAAATTTGCTTCATCCGCTCTATGTTGACGCGGCTGGCTTCAGCATGGTTCACCATGGGCTTGGGGTAGTGAACTCCTATGATACACTTAGCTGCCTTCTGCACTTCCTCTGGGGCATTCCAAGGATCATAGATGTATTTGGCTGGAAAGCCCCTCAATATGGGCAAATAACGTCTGGGAAAAGAGAAAGAAACGACACATCATTGTATCACATTTCACATTTCGGAGAATCTCTGTGGTGTGATGCAGATAGATTACACTAATACCAATACAAAAATGATATGAAGTTTGAAACAATTTGTTTATATTCCTGACGTAAGCATGACAAATCCATTTCCCCCATGTGAGGCTGCAAAAGAGCACAAGTTAAGCATGAGATCGTATTTCCCTATTTGACATGACTGCAGGGGTCACAGATACTCACAACACTGTCGGCTTATGAAAGGCCAGTGTTTATATTCATGTGATGCAGATGAAAGTACTGACTTACCTTATGTAGTCTCCATTGGGATCCGTGCGTCGTCCGAATCCCACGGGGCAGTAGCAGTGGAAAAACTGCTGGAAAAACGAGCTGCAAGAGAGCCACATCCAGCTGCCTGCATTAACGCTCCAGTCCACATCTATAAGCAGCTCTTCAAACACCTGCACGAGACACAGACAGTGGACAGTCGAGACGATGCATGTTAGTCATTTTAAGCATCAGGGCAGCAGCTGGACACCTTCATTCACTCTTAACTTTCCTTTTAACCTCCTTTCAAACTGTAATAATTGGTGTGAACTTTGTACATATGATCCCCTTTTCTCCATCCTTACCTTCATGCCTTCTTCCCAGCTGATCCAGAGGTCTCCCCTGGTGAGGAAGCAGGCCACAGCGTGCCTCGCCAAATGATGGATCCACCCCTCCTGCCTCAGCTGGGTCATGATGGCGTCTATCCAGGGAAAGCCTGTTTGTCCCTCTGCCCACTTGGCCAGTGCCTCTGGGTTCCGGTCCCAAGGGATCTGGACACACACAGGGTTTCCCTCCATCTTGTCAAAGCAGGAGTTGTTGGTGGCAGTCGTATAGAAGAACTCCCTCCACAACAGCTGGCCATACAAGGAAAGCGGTGGGCTGTTGTTTTTCTTGACCTGACACACAAAAAACAACAGGATACAAAATGAAGTTGCAGGATGGACTGGTAAGTAATCATGATTTCAAGAGAAAAAAGACATTTAAATTAAATTAGATTTGTTTTTCAGTAAAAAGTAAACATGAATAAACGTAAAATAGTATAGTATATAGTTTGTGTTGCTTCCTGTCTCGTCTTTGGTCATTCGTACCTTCATGTACAGGTCAGTGAGTCTGAAGTAGAAGAGCCGACAGGAGAGACATCCAAAGCGCAGGTAGGGGCTGAGACCTGTGGGACTGGCCAGCAGGGAGTTGGCGTTCATACGTGGACGCTCAAAGTTTGCCACCCATGCCTGCAAAAGAGATGGTCAGTCAGCCTCAAAACCGGACAAATTTAGCTAATTCCAATCTTTGCACATTAAAAAAAAAAAAAACTAGAAACTATTGAAAAGCGAAGAAAATCATAACCTGATTTGCCAGTAAAGCAACTAAACTGAGAAGGAAGACCAAGCATTCAATGATCTTGTGTGCAAGATGTGTATATGATCGTCATCATGCTTTACCTGTATCTATTTCTATTAAAAAATGGGTCATAGTGTTTATTAAATGACAATGTATTGAGCTAGATGAGAGGTCTATCAGCTAAAGCCAGAGTTAATAACTATATTTGTTTCTTAACTTGTGCATATACTATGTGGTAAATTGTCTTTTTACCTTCCTCTCCAGATGCCGCTCTAGCCTCATGAGGGCTTCTGTTTCTCCACCTGGCCATATTGCTGTGGTCAGACCCTCTGTTTCAAAGCCTGAAAAAGCAAAATATAGAAGTATAGACTCAAAAACCGACAGTGAAATATATGCTGCATAGTGTTTGTTTATATACACCACAACCAGTGTATTCATGCACACAACATACAGATAGTTACGAATAAAGGAAAAAAAAAAACGTACCAAGTTCTTCTAGAGAGGGAACCCCAAACTTGTCATCATGGTCTTCACTGATGGGTGTGGCACAATTTCTGATAACCTCAAGCGTGATCGTCTCTGCAGGGAGCTCCACAGCATCCATACGGTTGATGAGGGCCTGGAAGCGCTTGTATGTAAGAGGAGGGTGACCATCATTGAGCTCTATGATCCTTTAGGAAAGGAAAATAATAAAAGGAAACACAAATAAATCTTCACACAAACACAAACAAGAAGCAGGCAGGGACAATCCGCATTGTTTCAAACAGGTTCATCACTGTACGATCATTTTTTTTGACTAATAACATATACTCACTTGACCAGATTGTAGAGGGTGTGTGAAACCTGCACCATGACCTCCACCCCGGCCTCGCAGGCCAGTTTTTGGATGGCAGCATCCCGTTCCTTGCCAAATGGCTCAGAGTCGTATTCATAAGATAAACGGTTGATCTGCCATTCCTGGGGAACAAATACAAACAATTATATTATATAATTTATTGTTTTATTCTATAAATGAATGCATGTAAAAAAAGGAAAAGACCTATAGAGTAACAGAGAGAGAGTCTATGGTCGATTGGTCCATTACAACAAACTGGTTCTGAGTGATTAACCTTATACCTGCGTGGTGTGAGGTTGTTTGATATGTAACCGGGGTCATAAGTGATTTAATTTTTTTTTTTTCACAAGTTTACTTAAGTATTCAAATCTGAAAACCGTTTGATGAGCTATAATACTATTTTAAATGATCAAAAAGTAGAAGACGCCATCTTCTACTCTGTTTCATCTCTCATACCTTAAAAAGACGAGGGAAGACATCTGTAGGCTGGCCTCTGATGACAAACAAGCGTGAGTTGAGTTTGCGCAGGCTGTTGTCCAAGTCCTCTAAACAATGCAACAAAAACCTGGAACCAAAGAGAGAGAAGGATCATTTATAATTGATTATACAGCTGAGATTACCTCCTTACACTGATTTCAGTCACAAGACCAATAATAACAAGCGTACAGCAGAGGTTGTCGGTGAACGGAAGTGAAAAATATTACACGGGTTATTATATTAGTTATCAAATCTCACAGAATAGCCTAAATGTGTGCGATAGTTCAGAAATACAGCTTTGGGGAATATCAGTGTTTTTTTCCCCAGAGTCATAAACTAATATTATGCCTTACAGTAGACTGAGGGGAAGGTGTGTGTGTGTGTGTGTGTGTGTCACATGGGGAACAGTAAAGGATGTGTGGACCATCCCGATTAAGCTCGTTAGATATGCAGCTGTTGCTTTAATAAGAGTCACTGCTGCGTACTGTTGCTTAGCATATGTGGCAGTTAAAATTAATTCTGCCTTAACTTCATAAATACAGATAACTAGAACAACAATACTAAAGGTTTATGGCCACATTAGGGGCACTGTGCAACTATAACACTTCATTTCACAAAGTAACTGAGTTAATAACCCAGCTATCAGCAGCATTATAGCAGCCAATAATAGCTATGGTCACTTATTTTGACAACATACTATTTAGAGAAACCATCACTTTGCCTATTTGTTTATCAAAACTGAAAAATTTAAAGGCATAATCATAAGGTTCAACACGGCAAAGACCATACAACTCAAACAGTAATTAAACATTAGGCTTAAAATTAAACACTAACCCTTACAATTAATTGAACTTAAATGTATTAAACTAAACAGGTATTTCACAAATGTGAACATATATATGTGGCCATCCACTAGCACCAACACAAGAAAGCCAGAAGATGACCATCATTTAATTATCATGTGATACAGACTATATATTTATATAGAGAGACAAAAGTATATGAGTGTTTTAAGTGTGAACAGGGAGCCCTCTTCTGGTGAAATCTTTGTAGACACACACTGCACTTAACAGACAACTACAATTACAGAGACTGCGTTGTTTATAATCAACGTCATTTCCTAACATTTATTACAGCGAGAGGCAGAAAACATAGAATGATGCTTCAGCTTTTAAATTTTACTTTTCTCCACTAATGCAACCAGCACAATGACAACAAACCTGAACAAGAACAAACAAACACAGCACCGTAATACTGTTTATGCATATGTGAAAGTATGAAACGCCTTTTTTATTCACACCCAATGCCCCATAACTCATTTATGTGCCTCTTTATTAACATTGGACTATTAATTAAAGGATAATTATCTTTTAATGGACCATTTGCTTTTCATTTTTTCAATTAAGAACCAGTTCCAAATTCATCACACCAAGGATTTGTTAAGAAATCTGCATTTTGATACTGTATGTTATTTGTTCCTAAAGACAAGTTTAGACTACAACTACTAATTTCCACTTATTATATTGAACAATTATCTTTCTACTGCTATTAATGAAGTGTCTATTGCAGATAGTGCCATTGTTTTATTGCCCAGGCCTAACCTGAAGTTTGAATCATTTGTCAAACTTTCATTTTCTTGTCCTGGAGTTTCTTATCATTACATAGTTTGTCCACCAACATGCACTACATTAATACAGTGCCAAGAGTAGCAGGAGCGTCCATAAAGTCAACTGGATCCAATACAGTGAAATATACAGGTGGTGCTGCTGTATACAGAGTCTCAGCAGTTATATTGACCACCAGTAAATGAAACTAAGTGAAAAGCGGCTCACAGTGATGTTGGAAAATGTGCACAATGTGGATATATGTGATATAAACAGAGTGCGCAAAGTAAATATGAGTGAAGAGGGTGGAGTGAGGGTCTGGTGAGTGTGTTTTAAATGCATGATGATGATGATGATGATGTAACGACCGCAGCAACACACTGACCCAATTTCTCAGCTCTCCATTCAGCCCTGAGCAGCAGGGTTAGTAAGCGGGAAAAATGTCACAGCGTCGACATGAAGGTCAAAGTCAATTTCCTTTTCACTTTAGCAAAGAAATCCATCCAGAAATGAATATTATTATGGACTATAGAGTGAATTCAAAGAAGATATAGAGCTGTAGAGTGGCTATATACGAGATATAATGTGCGATTCTGAACAAAAACCAAAAATAAACTCAGGGAAAATGTCAGACTATTTGTATAAATTAGCTCTCGTATATTTCTCTTTTTACATTTAATTCGATTTTGTTTTGAGTCTTTGTCTGCAACCATTTCCTAAAGCTATCGAGAGGCTAACGGATACAATTAATAGCAAAAGACGAATTCAAAGAGACAGTAAAATAAAGAAAGAATTAAATTTAGCACATCCTAAACATGCACTCAACAACCAAACACAGTGTAAATGCTGGAAAGAAGTCAACAACTGTTTTAACATCCTGTATTTTTCACTTACTGCAAATTAATGACAAAGTACATTTATTGTAAAAGCCAAAACAAGCACACACACAAAAAAAGACCATTACCTCCAACTCTTTGTCATTATCACTAATGATTACCCTACAACAGACAACAGACTGTACATCAACTCAGGGCACAACACAGCTGAGTGGGAAAACAAACCTGATATGGCTGCTATAAATGGAAAAAGCTTTGATATCAGGAGGAAAGCAAACAAATAACCTGGAAAAATGGCCACAGAATCAACAGTGATAGGGACGACAGTGGCCAGATTGAGTTTGTTGATGCTGACACCAAAAACTCTTTTTTTTACAGTCTGAAAACTTGTGTTCAGCAGGTTTTTCTCAGCAGGATTTCTATGATTTTTCACCATGTTTTGTGGCATGTTTGCAAAACTCAGGGGGGAGCGAACATCCCGTGTATTCAGGACTGTAAGACTCACCAACTCCAGATTCTCCAGTGATTATTATGTCCTAACAGTACGTAATGGATTTAGATTTCCCCTAAAAAGCCACATAAAATCAGTGCAATCGTGCATTACAGATGAGCTAAATGGTGTGCAAATTATTCTGATATTATCCTGAAAATACACCATCTAGTGTAAAGATATAATTCCTTACATATGGTGAATACTTTGGAAGCAACGGTGCCTAATCACAGTGGTAAAGTGTTATTTCCAATTAGATGTAGCTCACTTCCACACAGATTCAAAAACAGCTTCCCGTATTTATTTTACAAATGTACATACTCCTCAAGACTGTGCACCTTCTCTCCCTTTCCATAATTACTTTATGTCCTACGTCTATACTGTATATTTTTATATTTCTTACACTGTTTT